GGCCTTGGTAGGGCCAGTAAATCACTCACCAAACAGTCTCCATCCAGTGCTGGAGGATATAGAAGGCAATTTCCACTCCTATAATATTAATTTCTTGGATTCTGTCATGGGCTTCAGTACCCATGATAAATGTTTTTACAATGCATACCAAATTAACCCAACCTGATTAGAGGCCTTTATAAGTTATTAATGGGATGTCACTTCAGCCCGGTCCTCTCCACGTACATGACATTTCATTAAATACTCTAACCTTGTTGGGAAGATCAATCTGTCTATCCTCGCTAGATTTGTCAACTTCAATAAAATGCTCTCTGCCCACTGGGGGGCGGCTGTGGGCCCCAGTGAGCAGCGGTGGGCCTAGGGGGGCGGGCAAGGACGCTTCGGCCTCAGGGCGGCTCCCTAGGCTGCCTGGAGAGGAAGGCTGACCCGGGAGGGGGGACCTTCCTCCCCAGGTGAGGAGGGTCAGAGGAGAAAGAGCCAGAATGCCAGGTGGGCTGTGGAGGGCCAGCCACGATCACAGGGGGCCCAGGAAGGAGCTAGGAGGCCAGGAGGGCTCAGAAGGCCGGGCTCAGGCTGCCATGGGGACTCGCTGCTGAGCCTGCTGGCCTGACAGGCGCAGACCCAAGGAAGCAGCGTGGGCGGCCTGTGCGGGCCCACCTGCCTCCTGCCTCCCGCCTCCCCACCTGCTCTGGGGGTGCTTCCCGTGACGCCTCTCCATGCTCTTCATCTTCATATCCTAAGCTGTGGAAGATTTCCTAGAGGACGTATTAAACCCACTCTCTGAAGCTGCTCTTTTATCATGAGCATCATAGCAAGCCAGGCACAGAGAGAGAGAGAGACAGACAGACAGACAGACAGAGGCAGAGAGAGACAGCAAGAGACAGGGAGAGAGGGGGTTCTCATTGTCTCTGAGCCTCTGAGTATCTCAGAGAAGCCCAGCCCTGAGTTCTTAATGGCTAGTGCAGTGCGGGCATAGCTGAGAACACCTCCATGGCTCGTTCCAAAGGGAAAACACAGATCCCATCACAAATGCTCTGCCCACGGAGAGCAGTCCTACAGAGCTGCTTGAGAACCGTTCGTTTGACGAAATGTCTCTTCTAGGAATGACAGCTATGGAAACAAAGGGACATTTCCAAAATGCTGAGTGTCTCATAGCTCCAGCCCACAGACACAGCCTCGTGGAAGAGCTGACGACTTGTGGGGGGCACAAACAGGGAGAGCCTCCGGCCAGCAGTCACACAGACGGGAAGATGCAGGAAGGTCGAAGAGCTAGCATGACACGTGATGCACCTCTTGGTGGGTATGGCTGCTCCTGATGGAGGAGACAGGGCGGGAGAGGCCCGGTGTTGGTGGAGGACAGAAGGCAGCAGAGGCCCTGGTCATCACTGTGTACACATTTCTCCTCTGACCTGACTTTTTCCGGCCAATGTGTTTCTCATTTCTATTCTCAGTAGAAAGGTCACAGCCTGGGCCCAAAGCAACTCTTTTGGGAGGAATCTGCGAGCAGCCACGGGCATTGCTGGGGGGAGCCTGGCTGTAGGAGGAGGGAGTCGCTGGTGCATGCTCTGTATCTTCCAAAGTGGCCATTGCCACGCAGGTGACCCTCACCTCCCTGACTGGATGAAGGTTGTAGGCGGCTCTCTCCAGGAGGTGAGGACTGCCCACTGGACTCTGTGCTCACCAGAGGACAGAGCCCTTCACTGCTCTTTGTCCCATGCATCAATTTCCGGTGACTTTTAGGGTCCCTGAGCCACAGGAAGGCTGCAATTGCTCAGCGAGGTGCTCCCGTCTCCTCCGGGAGCTTGAGCTGCAGCTGCACGCTCCGCTCCCCAAGGGGAATTACTTGCTGTGATCCGACTCATTATCATTAGAGCAGATTTACTTTAGGGAGCAATATTTACCTTTTAGAATAAAATGGCAATGAGGGATTTGTGGCTTGCTGTCACTTAATGGACCCACGCGCGCAAGGTCTGCTCTGAAGTGCGCACTTCCTCACACGCAGACAGAGTGGGCTCCAAGAGTTCTCGTCATGGGGGTAGGTGAAGGGACCCCAGCACCAGGCCGCTCCCAGGACACGGGATCACCTCGGACAGGGCCAGACCATCTGCCCAGGTTTGCAGAAAGGCTTTCTGGGAAATCAGTGTTTCTACACTGTCCACATCTGCATAGACATGCAACAGCAGGGGACAGGTTGTGGCTGAGACCACAGAGGAAGTGTGCTGACCCCGGCACAGCATGCAGGACAGTCTCTTCACAATGAGGTCCATCGCCTCTGCTAGCCAGCACAAGGAGGCATGCCATTGAGATGACCTTGAGATAAAATCCACCAAGGTGCCTCCCTCCCCCCCCCATCCTCTGTCTCAGGTAGCCAGTGTTCTAACCCCCACTTGTCACATCAGCTTTGCTGGCTGCTATATGCAAGTGATACCACACAGCGTGTGTCTCTAAGTGTCTGGCTTGTTCTTTTCACTTATTACAACCTCTTCCAGCTTCTCCTACTTCATAAAAAATGTCAGAATTGTAGCTGTTTAAGGAATGGTAAGTATTTCACTGTGGATCTATGCTGCATTTTCTTTACCCAGACATAAAGTTGCCCTTAAGATAGGAGGAATGAGCCGGGCGCTGGTGGCTCACACCTGTCATCCTAGCTACTCTGGAGGCTGAGATCTGAGGATCACGGTTCAAAGCCAGCCCGGGCAGGGAAGTCCGTGAAACTCTTATCTCCAATAAACCACCAGAAAACCGGAAGCAGTGCTGTGGCTCAAGCGGTAGAGCGCTTGCTTTGAGCTGAAGAGTGCAGGGACAGCACCCAAGCCCAGAGTTCAAGCCCCAGGACAGACAAAAAAAAAAAAAAAAGATAGGAGGAATGCGCTGAGATCTACACAGCACGAGGCTACGATGGTTACCCTCAACGTGTTGTGTCCTTCAAAGCCACAGCAGATTTGGAGTGGCAGTTGTGTCAGGTGGTGGACATGCTGATGATCTGATATGGTTATCACTGCCAGGCCATGTGCACTGAAACACCTCACTGTATCCCACCAACTGTACACGTACGTGTCAGTTAAAAATAATAAAACCCAGAGGAAAAAAGCATGATAAGAATCCCAAGTTTCACATAAGTTTATAAACTACAGAATTCCACAAGTCTATAAGCACCAAAGGTTAGCAATGAACATTGAACTGGACACCCAGTTCCTTCCTCGGCATTAGTGTCCGTGTGGCACACTGTTCTACGGTGTGGATTTCTCTCTCTCCAATCATTTTATGCTTAATGCTTAGGAACATGTGACTATGTAAATTAATTGATTAAGCAATCCATTTATGCATGCGTTTCTTTTTTTTTTTTGAGTCCGGTCGTGGGGCCTGAACTCTGGGCCTGGGCGCTGTCCCTCAGCTCTTCAGCTCAAGGCTAGCGCTCTACCACTTGAGCCACAGCGCCACTTCCGGCTTCTTTCTTTTTGCTTATGTGGTACTGAGGAATCGAACCCAGGGCCTCAGGCATGCAAGGCAAGCGCTCTACCACTGAGCCACCTTCCCCATATGCATGCATTTCTTATCTCAACAAATATTTAGTTCTTCCAATCCTGGTTCTTCATGACCCCCTCCTACCTCACCCCGATTTTGACCCATTAAATATACCCTTGAAGTCTCTGCTAGCAGTAGGGACACTTCAGTAATCACTAAAATTCTTTTGTGGCTCATATACTCCCGTTCCTCTGAACCAATTCAAGACCATGGAAGAAACCAGCGACCAGTAAAGTATAATTGTACTGCAGGGGAAAAGACTATTTTCTTTCATAATTCAGTAGGCAGCCCAGCCAATAAAACCCTATGCAAAATTTAAAAAAACCAACCATTTTCCATGATAGTTAGGGAATAGACAGCTCTGCATAGACCGTGACTTCAATGCAGCCACATTCAAGCACCTGGTCTGAGCTGCCTGCCAGCGGACAGCATCGTTTCTCAACACAGAGCTAAGTGAGACTGGATGCATGTAAATGTCAACCTTCCCGGAGTCCCTGGGCCAGACCCCTGCAGACCCTCGGCCAGGAGTGAGTGGGTGAGCACTGGGACTGGGGTTCTGTCTGTTCAGCCACCTGTGTGGGGCTCTTTTCACTTCACCATCCTTAAAGTTCGCAGGGCTTCACACAGCCCAAATTGCTGGTTAGAGGGGGGAAGCCCCTGGCCTCCATGCGGAGCTAGGAGGCCACCTGGAGTTCCCCATGTGCCGTTCTCTGCTGGGAGGGGAGAGAAGGCCTGCCTTCTTCACAAGACCCTCAACAGGGGGAGGGTGAGCCCCAAGAGCCAAGTTCAATGACCCTTCGTCAACCTCATCCTTACAATTCACAGCAAACCTAGAGTCTAAACCCAGCCACAGCTGGGCACTACTTTACGGGTAGGGCTCTGGGCACCAGAGCCCCTGTGTTGGGGGGTAAAATGTCCCTAGGGCTTGGCACCCAGATGTGACACTACTGAGAGGTGACTAGATCACGAGGAAGGGAATGTCACCAGTGGATTGGTCCACGGATGTGTCCGTAGCGGAGTGGGTGTCAGAAGATGGTGCTTGTGTGAAGGAAGTGAGTCACAGGGCGATGGCCTTGCTGCCCCCCCACCCCTGCTTCCAGCAGCCCTGTGGCTGTACCACGTTCATTCCTCCTCCAAAGCCAGCGGAGCCTGACTGTGGATTAGAGCCAAGATGAACCCTAACCCTCCCGCAGGAAGCAGTTTCCCCAGGCATTTCATCACAGCAACAGAAAGTTAATGTAGCATGCTCCTCCCATTTCATGAAAATTCTCTGTCCAAAGAGAAATGGCCATTTTACGCATTCAGATAGTCTAGTGTATTTATCTGAAACTTGATGCCTGTTCATGTCCACATGCACGTGTGTGTACACACACACACACACACACACACACACATGTACAGGGAGTACAGGGAGAAATGATCGGCCTAGACAGCATCAAACTCATGGCTGCTGAACTTGAACTTGGCCTGCTTACCAGCTGCTGTCCCTTGGGGCCCCACCCTGCATACTGCAGCTTTGCATTGCTGACTTCCGGTGGGTCCAGACTCTGAGGGTCCCTGAGGAGACAGACAGACAGAAACAAAGCAAAGTGTTGGGAACCAAGAATTTAGAATGCTTCCATTTTACCCTCCAGCCACGTGTCTTCCTCCACCCATCACTCCAGCTCCAGGAGCCTGTCTCTGTTTATGGAGCGGAATGTCTCACTCAGTCTCCATTAGATCTTCCCCGATATACATAATTTATGTGAAGTTGAAATAGGTCCATCGCCACTTAACCCACATGGTAAATATTCATCACTAGAAAATATGCAGGGAAGTCTACACATCAATTTTTAAAATATCCAGGGCAGTCAAAATTAAAAATTGAAATGCACAGCCACACGGTAGTAAATCCCTACAACTTATATTTTCATTTTTGGCTTTCCTGGCGGATGATAGTTTTCTAAGCACAATGCCAGGTTGCCTGCCGCCTCGGGAGAGATCACCTCTTTTTGTTTCTGCTGATAGAGACACCTCTTCAGGGAAAGGGAGTGGGGGTGGGGCACAGACTGAGAATCGAGGGGGAAGATCTTTATCTCCTATTGGACATCACTTGTAGTTTTCATTCTTAATGTACTGATACCATGACAACAAAATCCTATCTATGCAAAGTTCTTAATAAAACCCATACTCAAAGAAACATGCAAAAAACCTTTTAACACTATTACAACAATGGACTGTTCCATGTATTTGGTAATAGTGGCTATGTTCAACAGGTAGAAGAGTGATTCTCATATTTATTTTGGAAGGCACCACCCCATGTGAAGAGTGGCGGACTGCTTTGCCAATGAACTCCATATCATGTGGGGTTTCTTACACTGAATCAGAGCTGTGAACGCACTAATTTGTCTAGGGAGAAAACAGGTAAATGTCCCTTGAGAAAGCAAGAAATGATGTGAGGAGCTTCTAGACATGGGAGGAAGCAGGAGGAAGGAAGGTAAAGCTGGTGGACATAAAGGGGCTCAAACTAGAAAATCGGAAGTGATTGTTGAGTGATGGTATCAGAAACAACGCAAACCAACAAACCAAAACAAGGAGCTGGCACAGGCAGAGGGGGAAAGGATTCAGGGAGAGACAGCCATCAGAGCCATGCGTAGTTGGAGGTAAGGCTTCTGGGCTGGGAGAAGCCCAGGAAGTGATGGCAGGGCAGGGTGGGGTGGGGCGCAGGGAAGGGTATGCGGGCTGGGGAGGCAGCCAGAAAGAGAGGGCCAGACAGCGCACTGCTCAGCTGAACCGGGAACAAACATGCCTGGTGTATTTTGGATGTGGTTGGGTTGGTGCTCCACCACTTGAGCCATGCCCTAGTCTGTGGATGCTGCTTTCACAAGCACAGGAGATTCCTGGGAAAGCCTCTCCAAGAATGACTTAGAACCCACGAGAAGCAGAATACATTCGACCACAGGGAACATCTAAATCTTCCCATGACAAAAACATCACAAACAGAAAATGACTTTGGAAACAGAGAGAAAGAAAAACATTTACCACGTGTGTGTGGGCAAGTTGTGAAAGTCACACACACAAAAAGTAAGATTAAAAAAAACATAAAATATGTGGAAGAAAGAAAGACATGAACAAGCAATCCACAAAAAGGCATGGAAAGAGGCATGGAAAAGCACAGAAGCACGAACAAGCAGAAATGTCAGCTCTCACTGAGGTGGTGACTGGTCAAAGAAAGAAGGTTGTGATGCACAGGTTGGTGAGGTGTGAGGACACAGGCTCTCTCACACGTGTGTGTGTGTGTGTGTGTGTGTGTGTGTGTGTGTGTGTGTGTGGTAGGGGTCAGACTGGGATGGCCATCTGAGATACAGGCAATACCTCAGCACTTAAATTTAACCCTGCAACTTCAAGTCCGGGACACCTATAGCAAGATGCACCCACAAACAACATGCAGCACGCGTACACAAGGCTATAGTACTGCTACTTCTTTACATCGAAATGATTAGACTTCATTATGTATGAGGAGCATGGTGCTCACAGGACTGTCCCTTCTCAAGGCTGAGTGGCAGTTGGCAGAGGGTGGGATGCTGGTCATCAGAGGTGGGAGGGGAGCATCAGGGACACGTTGGAGGAAGGGAGCTGTGTCCGGGATGCAGGAGGATGAAGCACCAAGACCTCCTAGAGCGCGCGGAGACATGGCTCATGACCATGCTGTGCAGATTTCACATTGCTATGGGTAGATGCCGAGCGCTGCACCACAGGCAAGTAGAGGCAAACGGGGAGGAGGACGTGCCAGCCAGCTCTGTCAGGCAGTCCAGGAGGCACCACTGCACGTGTGCAACCATGATCCACCGGCTTCCCTCCCATGACTGTAACCCACCGCTGCCCCTGTACACTGCACTTCTGCTTCGGGCCAGCAGGACACCTGTGGAGTTCAAACGGTACCCCACAAGTGCGCTGAAGCCCAGCTCCCCACGGCTCTACGTGAGGTCTCTGTGGGTGCCAGTCACGGGCCCCGATTCAGCAAAGTGTTGGCATTCAGAGAGGAGGACCAGGCACTGGGGAGGAGCCACCGATGCAGACAGGCCAGGACTGCAGCTGTGTCTGCAGGCCCCAGACCAGGACAGCCACCGCCAGCCCAGAGTGGGAGAGGCTTGGACCAGAGCGTGGCCTCACCTCCACCCTGACTGGACTCGTGACCTCCAGAGCTAGGGAGGACAAGGGGCGGGAAGGGCCCGGCGTGGTCCTTGGCGGCTGGGGGAATCGTGGCAGCCCGCGGAAGGAGCAAGGCCCAGGCACTTTGCTCATACACAGAGGCTATCAGCTCTCGTGTGAAGAGCTTATACAAGGAGGGAAAACATATCACCAAGTGACTTGAGACTGATGCCCGAAGAGCAGACCCACAGGCGGGTCCCGTGAGGGACCCCTCTGCACAGGCTGACGACAGTGCAGCGCCCTCAGGGGCCAGCTCACCGTGACCCCACCCACCACCTTCTGGGCTGTTTTGGAACTTTCAGGGCCTCTCTCTCTCTGTGTACAAAGAGAGAGACTGAGATTCATGCAGGGGCTGGCCAGTGCCTCCCTCGCGTCCCCTCCTTTTTATTTATTCATTTGTCCTAAAGCATCCACAAGGCCGCGTGATGAGCCACCGCCAGGGTGGGGATGGATGGGTAAAGAAATGATGAAGGAAGAAGAAAATGATCTGGACTTAGTGTATCTCAAAATAACTATGCAATCCATTCTAATTTTGCTTATTTGAGCAATAAACAAGACAGGGCATTCGTCATGTTGAATTCTGAAGAGTTTTATCAGTGAACGGCCAAGTTTGTTCATTTATCTTCCTAAGCTGTTTTGAGATATTGACAAACTTCGCAATGACGGTGGCAACTGAGAGGAAGAAGCTAAACAAATGGTTTCCTGGCTCCTTAGTTTTAGTGGCTAAAGACATAAAAAATACCATTTTCAGTGTCAAATACTATGGTTTTTCTTAGCGTTTTTATATGCTTAGCATGTAGTGGGAGATATAAAAAGGCAAGATACATTCCCTGTACTGAATGAGTCCCTGTAGCTCACACACACACACACACACACGCACGCACACATGTACACAGCCATTTGAACCATGCACACACGCACGCACACACACACACACGTACACAGCCATTTGAACCATGCACACACGCACGCACACACACATACACAGCCATTTGAACAATGCCCCAGACAGTTTTGCTTTTATTATTTTTTGACTAGGGTCTTCAAGACTGTGATTCTCCTCTTTACACTTCACGGGAATCATGGGTGCACACCACCACTCCCAGTTTTTTACAGGTTGAGGTGGGGTGTTGTGAACTTTTATACCCGGCTGGCCTTGAACTGTGACTCTCATGATAGCCAGCCATCCGACCAGCTGGACCTCTGTGAGAAGCCCAATACATATTAAACAAACAATAGGTAGATGAGGGGATGAGTAACTAACGGGATCTGGTCTCACCTCCAGTTACTGACTGGTTAGTCTGCAGTACTCTGAAACCACAAGGCACTTTTGGGTTTGCGTCACCCTGTATGGGCATCTTCAGAGATGGAGTTAAGCTTGTGGGTCAGGAGTCCTGGCTGGCACATCTTCCTGAGTGGCTAGCAGCCACCCCACTGGTCAGATCCAGCTCCCAGAATGCCTTTCCTCCCACAGGACTTGAGCACTTGCCAGGCTGAGCGCTGTGCTCATAAGGGCTGGGGCGGCTTGTTCTCCAGTCCCATTGAGGTGCAGCATAGCCCACAGACTTGAACATGCAGACTGCAGGTGGAGGTGAGGATCGCGCCACACAAACATGGATGGAGACTGTCCTGTCTGCCATGGTCTACACAGTGTCTATCGGGCCTGCTCTCAATAAAGATAAACCCCATTAAGGAAAGAAGTGACAGAAAGCAGGACAGAAAGACAGACAGACACATGCAGAGACACCCAAGAGAGACAGAGAGAAACAGGCAGAAGGCAGACACAGAGAGGCTGAGAGACAGAGAGACACACCGGGAAAGGCTAAGAGATGGGGAGGGCAGAGGTGTGTCTGGAAGGCTTGAGCAGTAAAGCAATTCTCAGGGTGAGGAAATGTTCTGAAATGGAATGAGAACGGTCACGCAACTCCGCAGGAATCACTGAGTGGTATCATTTAACTAGGTAAGTGGAGGGCATGAAAATCTTATTTCCAAGAGCCAGGGAAGGGAAGAGGGGAAGGAAAAGAGGAGGAGCAGGAGGAGGAGACAGGGAGGCGGGGGTAGTGGTCTCCTTCACCACCAGCAGGCCGCGGGCCTCGGCTGAAACCCAAGGCTGGCGCCACCTCCTGCTCTGCCCACCACTCCGGTGGCCTCGAGTGCAGCCTTCCCCGCTGAGGAAGTGTCTGGAGTGGGAATGCCTGTTCTTCCCACGGGTGAGGCTGACCGGCCCTCTCCAGGGGGAGGCCACAGGCAGCCTGTCTGCAATCCCAGTCTGTGAGTGCAGGAAGGAGGCTGCCTGGAGGACACCAGCGAGAGGGCGGCTACCCAGAGGAGGCTGGGGGTGTCCCACAGGCCGAGGTGGCTACGGG